GTGGATCTTTACATGGTTCAAAATTGTGTATCAGTCTATAGAAAGCCATCCCAACCACTCTGTCATTAGTGCATATTGCTCCTCCACCTCTTTTCATCTGACTCTCCTCTCGGTTCATATCAGCGATGCAGATCCAGTCACCGTCTGCCGTCACGCACCACTTTGAGTGATCCACAGTATCACTGAAGGCCCTCCTGTTTGGAAGATTGACTTCTTTCACGTTGTACACATGGTTAGGGATGCTTCTACTGCAGTTAGAAGGCAGACCGCGATTGTGGTGCATCTTTCCCCAGCTCTTAACATACAGATTCCCCCTGATGTTTTTTGTAAGAAGACCAGAGTAAAGATCTGCAATAGTATGGAAAACAACACTATTAAGAGTGCGCTCTACTGTGGAGAGCACAGTGTGTTTACTGTCAATCTACATGCTCTTATGTTTGTGATCAATACAACATGAATTCATCCTGAAATATGTCTTCTTTCTGAAAACACTCACCATCACCAAAGCGTGTGTATTTTGCAAAGCTGATGAAGTTACGGCCGCTTGAAGAAGTCAGCGTCGCCTGACTAAACCAGGGTTCCTTTCTCGGGTAGCAGTCTCGCTGTGCCACACATCGGAGCTCATTGGGAAAGGTTGTTGGGATTTCAGAGTCATACGAATAAGCATGGATGTACTTGAGCTGCACTCCTAAGAATTCAGATACAAGTTGTTAAAGTGCACTTTCACTAGTTCTGTGAATCTGATTTGAGCTGTTTACCTATTTCTTTGAACTGCTTATACGGGTAAGTCACGCACATAAATGCTTGAGCGTTTGCATTTCCGTTATCAGGCCAGAAGGCTTTACTGCGATATGTTGGAAATTTGGGTGTGCTGTGTGAAAGCCAAACTCCAGACGCTTTGTCCAACAACACAACTCCTGTAGAAAGACAGAAACACAAACTGAGCTTTGCTACATTTGGGTCTTTCAGACAGAGGACGCCATCAGCTGAGACAATGTTGTGCCCACCTTTACTGTGACCGAACGATGGAGGAGCGACATACGGCTTTGGAGGCTGGTCACTGTAGAGCATGTATCCAAAGCCTTCGATCTGGATAGACGAGCAACACCACAACAACTCTGAAATGGTATTCAGATTATACACTGTGCCATGCTAATGAGACATATATCCTATAATACCTCACCTTTCTGTCATAGAAGTCAAAAAGAGGTTTCAGGGTGTTTGCGAGAGCGCCAGAATCACTGTTGATGTTCTCTTGGCTGAGCATCCATCCGTTGGTGCTCTCATCCATGTAAAAGTACGACAATCCAAGTTTATCCTCATTGGGACGCTTGTACAAAATATACCTAAAGAATGTAGATAAAGATGTTTTCTTATGCATTTACATTAAACCCATTGGAAGAAATTCAAAATGTCTACAAACCAGTCAACTTCGTCTCCTCTGTCATTCCTGCATTTTACCGCCGAGTCACACCCCTGGAAAAGGATCCCAACACTCAAGAGGAATCCCATCACACTGGTCTGAAACAGTCAAACATAACCGCTGCTAGAACCACAAAAACAGGAGGCTGTCTGCATTCAACAACAGCGTCACAAAGCAGAAGGTCTTTAATACAGTGTAACATAATAAAAGCCACCAGTGAACCTGCAGCTTCTGTTTAAACAAACTTTATCTGACTGACATAAACTTGTGTCAGTTACGTCTTTACTTCTGCAAATCCTGCAAGCTCCTTTAGACAGACGACTTAAGTTGCACCACTTACCACACGTGTAACACGTCTCTGCTCATTTACCAAACACAGCCTCTCAGCATGGCAGCCTATGAAGTTACAAATTTTCCATTTCTCCTTCTGACATTTCAGTTCATCACAGCGGCAATACAACTCAAGATCTACCTCAATCATTCAGTCTCGAGTAACACAATATAGACTCTAAACATCTCTAAATATGATCAGGCTTTACAGCTTATCTGGAAAACTTGTCATCACGTGACCTCATCTGTGCGCACTTTCTCTTTCTTATTGTAGCTATATGTTGGATGCTATAAGTAAAGATCCTTGATGTAAACAATCTGTAAGTGTGTAAGACTTTTGCATTTCTGTCAAGCCACTTCCTCAGCTTACAAGAGGTCAGTCGTCCACTACTGAAACATATATTTGCAAGTCAAACACACCATGGACATTGTATTGTAATGCCAATAATGCCGAATCATGCAGCAATATAAAATAGTTTGTTGCATTTTATAATAGCATGCTTATTGGTGGGTGTAATCTAGGGTCATGATAAATGCATCAATACTAGTTTCATGTGTTAATATTCTGCTCACATTGTGTTTGATAAGCTATGACACACTGTACTCATGTACTGTATTTTCATACACAGGATAACTATGCATTTACTTTGTGTTCAGTCTGTTTATGTCAATAGATCATCTCAGTATTATGCAACACAC